TGTATAACTACCACTCAACCCGATTATCGTTGATAATAGGCTGGATTGATTAGGTAATTAAGTGATCGACAAATGTATCGTGTAACTTATACCGTATATATACACCTACCTTGATTAACTACTTAATCTGTCTTGTTTGGCTGACTTAATCCTTTGTCGGACAATTCATCAATCCAATCCTCAACAGAAGTCATTGCTTCTCCTTTGTCGGACTATATATCAATCCAATAAGAGTGATTATAAACTTAATCTGTGTGATTAACCCTTGATTTCTCCATTGTCAGACGTTTTAATCTCCTTAATGTCGGCCGACAAACGTAGAAATTAGTCATATGTCACATATCCTAATATACTTGTCGGTATATTCCTTCGACGGGCAAGAGTAGATTGCGATTATTTAGCAGATGTCACTTGCTCCTTGTGGTAGAGCGACGGTTACTGCCAAATAAATTTCGGGATGTCATTTTTTTAACTTCCATACGTAAGTCAAAACGGAGTATAAGACGAATGCCAGACTTTCGCTGAAAAATGTATCGAGTTATACCCCGAAAAATACGGTAATTTTTGAGGAATTTGAAACAGTTACCGGTCGGTACGCCTTCATTCTATCATATTATGACAACACATAATTTTGTAGGAATATTACTGACATAAATTTAAATACCGTATGTAAATAAAATATGAAAAATAACAAGGTGCACCTATATGTATTTTTATACACCCACATTTTCATGTGGACGTATATTGTCGTCGGCCCTGTTCGTCCGTCCGTCCACAATTGTTTGTGAACAGTCTACAGGTCACAATTTTTATAAGCCCACATTGAAATGTGGACGTATATTGCTGTCACCCCCGTCCGTCCGTCTGTCGGTCCGTCCATCGTCCACAATTTCTTGTGTACGCTCTAACGCCAAAAGTTATCATCCAATTGTTTTAAAATTGATATATGTTGTTAACATTAGTGAGATGAAGAAGCCTATTTAATTTCAACAATTTCTGTTTATTACGTCTAGAGTTATGGTCCTTGTTTCACTTTGTTGAACCTTGTGAACGCTCTAACGCCAAAAGTTATCATCCGATCTTTCTGAAATTTATATGCATTATTTAGATTAGTGAAACGAAGAATCCTATTGAATTTCAGCAATTTTCTATAATTACACCTTGAGTTATGGCCCTTGTTTCACTTTGTTGTACCTTGTTTATGCTCTAACAACAAAAGTTATTATCCGATCTGTATGAAATTTATATGCATCATTTAGATTAGTAAAACAAAGAAGTTTATTGAATTTCAGCAATTTCCGTAATTACATCTAGAGTTATGGCCCTTGTTTCACTTTGTTGAATCTTTTGAACGCTATAATGACAACAGTTATCATCCGATCTGTTTGAAATTGATATGCATCATTTAAATTAGTGCAACAAAGATGCCTATTGAATTTCAACAATTTCCGTTAATTACACCATGAGTAATGGCCTTTTTTTCACTTTGTTGTACCTTGTGAATGCTTTAACGACAAAAGTTATTATCCGATCTGTATGAAATTTACATGCATTATTTAAATTAGTGAAATGAAGAAGCCTATTGAATTTCAACAATTTCTGTTTATTACGTCTAGAGTTATGGCCCTTGTTTCACTTTATTGAACCTTGTGATTGCTCCAACGCCAAAAGTTATCATTCAATCTTTGTGAAATTTACATGCATTATTTAAACTGATGAAACGAAGAAGCCTATTGAATTTCAGCAATTTGCGTTTATTATGTCTAGAGTTATGGCGCTTGTTTCACTTTATTGAACCTTGTGAATGCTCCAACGTCAAAAGTTATCATCCGATCTTTCTGAAATTTATATGCATTATTAAGGTTAGTGAAACGAAGAAGCCTATGGAATTTCAGCAATTTCCGTTTATTACGTCTAGAGTTATGGTCCTTGTTTCACTTTATTGATCCTTGTGAACGCTACAACGCAAAAAGTTATCATTCGATCTTTGTGAAATTTATATGCATTATTAAGATTAGTGAAACGGAGAAGCCTATTGAATTTCAACAATTTCCGTTTATTACGTCTAGAGTTATGGCCCTTGTTTCACTTTATTTATCCTTGTGAACGCTCTAACGTAAAAAGTTATCACCCGATCTTTGTGAAATTTATATGCATGATTTAAATTAGTGAAACGAAAAATCATATTGAATTTCAGCAATTTTCATTAATTACTTCTAGAGTTATTGGCCTTGTTTCACTTTGTTTAACCTTGATAATGCTCGATTGATAATAGTTATCATACGATATGTATGAAATTTATATGCATCATTTAAATTTGTGAAACAGGTCTATTGAATATCAGCAATTTCCGTCAATAATTTCTAGAGTTATGGCGATTGTGAACGTTTGAATGACAAAAGTGATCATGTGATCTGTATGAAATTTATATGCTTTATTTAAATTAGTAAAACGAAAAAAGCCTGTCAAATTTCAACAATTTCTATAGATTACTTCCAGAGTTGAGACCCTTTTTTCAGTTTGTAGAACCTTGTAAACCCTCAAACGACAAAATTTATAATCTGATCTGTATGGAACTGTCTTGTAAAGGCCCCCAATTACGTACAAAGGAATAAATATGCGACAACCCTTGACGAACGATTTAGCTGCTGTGGGCGTATGTTTTGATGCCTGGCAACCTATCTTTATCGGATTTCAATGAAACTTGAAATATAGGTTTATCACCCTAAGATCTCAGTTCCTTTCGATATTGGCATGTATCAGACTGTAACTTCATGGATTATGGCCCATGATTGTACGAAAAATCACGTTTTTAGCTTGTGAACACTTTAGAGATCACAATTTTTATCCGATTTGGTTTAAACTTGAAATGTATGCTTATAACCCAAAGATCTCGGTTCCTTTCGATATTCACGCATATCGGAACGTAACTTCCTGAATTATGTCCTCTGATTGTACGAAAAATCGCGTTTTTAGCTTGTGGACCCGATGGAGGTCATAAATTTTATCCGATTTCAAAAACCATTTTATCATATCATTGTTACACCCTAAGAACGGCTGATTTCGAATTTCGTGAAAATCAGCCCAAAACTGACAGACAAAATGGCCGCCATTCGTTCTCAAATAGCGTAAAAATATGGTATATCAAGGTTGTGGACCCTATAGAGGTCTCAATTTTTATCTGATTTTGTTGAAACTTGAAATGTAAGTTTATAACCCAAAGATCTTGGTTCCTTTCGATATTTGCGCTATCTGGTTAAAACACAGATCCTATTTTATTTCGTTTTTATAGTTCAAAATTTCGTTTTACTTGTCTTTACTACACAATTGGATCTGGAAGAGTTGTTATTTAACTTGTGTTCTGAATGGTGTCAGGGAAGCTTTAGGGGTGTTTTTCACGGAACGGAACTGTGGGTAATCCACTAGTAAAATCAATGCTGATTGGTTAATCAAATGTCTGACGTCATAAGTCTGTCTTTTGACCCCTGATGTGACCTATCGCTATAACTTGTCAGATCTTCATGTAGTGTAGGCCATCGAAAGTATAAAAAACGAAACGAAATATAGATCTGCATGTTAATCAGATTGATATTTGCGCATATCAAATTGTAATTTCCTGAATTTTGGCCCTTGATTGTAGGAAAAATCACTTTCTTTTTAGCTTGTTCTCTATCCATCTCTCGAAAATGTGGGCGTATCCTGCCTGGCAGCCGCTGGTTTTATTACGTATGAATTTTTATATTTTGTTGTCTCAAGATTTTTAATTGTGGTCTGAAACCGCCTGCTTAAATAGCGATAAGACTTATGCCCCTTTATTTTCAGGAAAAAATGTCTTAACAAGAATTTTTTTTTGAAATCCCATCACTGATCGAGACTGTTTTTTTTATCGTACCGACTTTAGTAATGATGATGGAGGCTAAAATCACTAAAATCTCGGTTCAGACTGGATCAATTTGACTGAAATTTTCAGCAAATTCCCTTTACATTATCTAGCTTTTAACAAAATAAGCCAATGACATTTACCGTTAGGCAACCAAATACTCTCACGTGACCCCATTGTCCAATTTACATACTAGAAACCACTACACTGACTAAACAAAATCGGTATTAGTAATTACATTAAACTATGCATAATAACGAAGGCAAGCCTGCATGACATTGAAAATAAAACATGTCTTGCAAATTTCAAACTTCGTGGCTTGATAGCTATAACTGGCTAAGTCGCAATGAAACAAACATTCATCAAGCGAAATGCTGCATATGCAAGAAGAGTTTCACTAACAAGAAAATGGGTATATCCGCTGTACCTTCACACGAAAAGAGTGAAAAACACATCAAATTAACGAAAGCTACGTCATCAAATATGACTATTAGTCCGAGTTGAAAAGGGAAATAACTCTGTTTTAAAAATGGCAGGAGTTTTTCCGGTGTGCCGAAGTCGATCTGTAATAATAAAAAAACAGTTTATGTCTTCAATTCCTTTTAAATATGAGATTATAAGGATTGTTGGTAATGTTTTGGTTATTTTTAAGATGAAAAATTGTAACTTTAGGCTAAAAAATGTCCTTGAAAATCCGTGAATTTGACATATATTTATCCTTGAATATCCTTGATAAAATGTTTGACGAAGCCGCAGGAACCCTGTAATAACCGACCAATTACCTACACATCAAGTCATGAACATAAACACTTCATATGGGCGGCTTATCTGACGGCCCCATTTCACTCGCAAAGAGATACACTGTCAAAACACTGCCTTATAACAGTATCTTTCTATACAATCACAAATCCCAGAGTGATGTTTTCATTTTGCACAACTGAATTGTGTTCATATTAACAGGACAATTTGAAGTTATCGGAATTTGGTGAGATTGTGTATATTACATGTAGGTCATAAGGAAGGTAGGTGATTGAGTTTTCTCCCAGTTAAAATTTTTAATTTTGGGTGCAAGTAGAATATTTAGTAATTTATTATGTTTAATAAGATATATTTGTTTTAGATTGTTCGGAAGGAGGCAAGCCAAGTTTATGATAAAATTTACGGAATAATTTATGGGCATTGTGTAGGAGATGCTTTAGGTTTATTAACTGAAAACCTGTCAAAAGAAGAATCAAGAAAGGTACCAGAAGAAAATATTTAGAAATACTCTAAATACTGCCAGGCTGCATTTCCGGCAACCTGTTTTTCAAAATTTTCTGGGGGAGGCCCCCTACCCCTAGTTAAAGCTCGTGCCTTTGCCCCCTTAACCTTGGACTTTGCCCCAGCTTTGCCCCTCCAATCACCGACGGCTGGCGCCGCCACTGATCAGAATTACAGAATTTTACAAGTCGAGGACAACATCAGCAACCCAACATCCAGCAATTTTACGTATAATTATTTAAACTAAACACATTTGAAATATTTGTTCAACATAGAGATTTTTGTTAAGTTTGTTCCATAATGCATCATAACCCTGTCTATGTTTTTACTTCCACACAGTAGTCTTTTCAATTTTTTGACCTGAAGTTAAAAAGCATCTAAACATCTGAACAGTGTGCATTGTCATTTAATTTGAATATAATAATTTTGTATTGATATTATTGCTTTTGAAATATCTTTTAATTTGTTATTTATTTTTTTTTGGAAGGTTTTTGGTTCAGTATGTTGTAAGCTCGAATTAGTACATAAAAAGATGATTGATGACAGTCATCGCAGAAAATGGGAACTTAATGATTGGACGGAGGAAAGTGATCATATGATATTGTTACTTCAGTCAATAGTAGAAAACAATGGTGAAGTATGTTGAATCCAGTCAATGTCTGCTTTAAAGATGCATTATGTCAAAACTAAATCTGCCTATTGCAGGTCTTTTTTCTGGTTTCAAATGTTTTTATATATTTATTAACATGACAAAGATTAAATAGATTAAAACACCAGGGTCATTTAAGAGTTTAACAATAAAAAAGATAATAGAGACTAAGTCTCGACTGTAAAGTAGAGCTGCTACGATAATAAACAATCTACGCTACGTTTTGTCAAAACTTCAAACCTTCACAATTTCGCAATACATTCATTTTTCATTATCTTTTTTTGAACTATTATAGCAAGAATAGATAGCTCTTTATCTAATTATAATGCATTTTTAAAGGGGCATTATGGGAGATTAGATAAAAGGTTGACAGTTCTCGCTATAATTGTTGAAAATAGATAACATAAATAGAATACGCTAAAAATTTCAGTCAAATTGTTCCACTCTGAATGGTTGGCGTGCGCACACTGTATCATAAAGTCTGTCATTGAGTCGACTGGCGTGGTTTTGAATCCCCGGTTGTACGTGACAAGGAGTAGGGTCGTCTGTCTAACCTCGTGGGTTTTCTCTGGGTCCTCCGGTTTCCTCCCACTGCTAAAGACCCCTATGCGCAAGCGAATTATTGAAATAAAATTAAACCATATGTTAGTCCCGAAATGACCTAGTTTGTGTCGAGTGGACGATAAACCCCATTTCTTTCTCTCTCTCCCAATCTGAACCGATATATTAGCTTTTAAAATTTAAGACTAGCCTCGAATATCATTATACTAAAGTCGGTATGATAAAAACAAAGTCTTGATTATCCATTTTAACGTTTAATTATACTGAGCGCCATGGAAAACGCATCACTTTTTTTTCCCAAATATTTTCTTAAAAGTGGTTTTGTATGTATAATATTATGCAATACTATGAACTATTGTTTCACACAATGCTCCCAAACGCAAAAAATATCGGCCCGTGTGCACACAAAAAATTGCACGAGATGCACATCAAAAACCTAATATACACGTGCAGCATTGTGTGTGAGCCCTTTAAAAGCATGTTTTCAACCTAATATGCAGTACATGAACTGTGAAACGTCAATCTGTCGTAATTTGTTGTTGGACGTGTGAAGGAATCAAGCTAGAGATGCCGAGACTTACTGAAAATCAACGGAATGAAGCCATGGGAATGTCCCGGGCTGGCATGTCTACACGTGCTATTGCCAGACACTTCAATTGTCATCAGTCCACTATTGTAAGGTTGGTGGAACGTGTTCGAGTTACTGGATCAACACGTGACCATCAACGTCCTGGTCCACAACGCGTTACAACCCAGGCTCAAGACCGCTACATGCGGGTCACTCATCTGCGTGACAGATTCCGCCCAGCGACTCGAAAACAGGTGCAGCAGTCGCCGGAAGACAAGAACCAGTAAGTGCCAACACCGTAAGACGTCTAAGAGAAGTGGGACTCCGTGCACGACGACCTTATGTTGGAGCTATCCCCAGGGATCATCACCGTCAGCGGGGTTTGATATGGGCTCAAGGACACCAGACATGGAGAAGAGTAGACTGTCAAAGTGTGCTCTTCAGTGATGAGAGTCGCTTTCATCTTTATCACGCTGATGGCCGTCAACGTGTGTGGAGACGTCTTGGGGAACGTCTTGCAGACTGCTGCGTCTTCGAAACGAATCGATGGGGTGGGGGAAGTGTAATGGTGTGGGGAGGCTTCATCACCGGACCGCCCTACACATTTGCAGGGGTCGCGTTAATGCTGTAGCCTACCGTGATGATGTCATGCAACCAATTGTTGTTCCGATGTTTCGAGCGCACCCACAACTTCAGCACAGACCCGTCAACCCCTCAGAGCTGAAATGCAGTAGGGTAGTGTAAAAAATGCAGTGGAAACCATGATTTGGCAGTAGATTTCCAAAAACGCGTAAATTCGCACTTCCAAGGGTAATTAATTTAGAAATGATACACTGAACTGCAAGTCCAACAATACAAAAATTGCATTAAATGGGTAATAGATAAAATATACCCAAGCAATGGTAACCATATCTAAAATTATTTATGTAATTAAACCAAAATTGAATATGTACCCTACAAAAAGAAATAATTAGTAACGGGGTTTGATATGGGCTCAAGGACACCAGACATGGAGAAGAGTAGACTGTCAAAGTGTGCTCTTCAGTGATGAGAGTCGCTTTCATCTTTATCACGCTGATGGTCGTCAACGTGTGTGGAGACGTCTTGGGGAACGTCTTGCAGACTGCTGCGTCTTCGAAACGAATCGATGGGGTGGGGGAAGTGTAATGGTGTGGGGAGGCTTCATCACCGGACCGCCCTACACATTTGCAGTGGAAACCATGATTTGGCAGTAGATTTCCAAAAACGCGTAAATTCGCACTTCCAAGGGTAATTAATTTAGAAATGATACACTGAACTGCAAGTCCAACAATACAAAAATTGCATTAAATGGGTAATAGATAAAATATACCCAAGCAATGGTAACCATATCTAAAATTATTTATGTATAGTAACGTAAAAAAAAAAAAAAAAAAAAAATTACCAGGGCAGTCCAGTAATCAGTATACTGGCAGTAGGCCTACCACTACCACTTTTCTTTTGTTTTAACTTAGCATGATTTTAAAATATCCTTGTGACGTGTGTTCCCCATTCCGAGAGTTTTTGTCAATATTGTTTCATGCAAGATTATATAGTATTTCTACATAAGGAATAGAGGGGGGGGGCGTAAAAAATTAGTTTTGCAAACGACTACCTAAATATTGGTATCGATTTAATCTTGCCCCCCATGGCCCATGGCGATTATCCTCTCAATGTACAGGATTTTTTTTTCCCCGTGATTCAGTAAATCTGCTTTTACATTTAATCGAGAGAGTGTTCCATGTAAGTCAGAATCATTGAGACGTATTTCCATCTTGAAATTGAAGTTCTAGGTTGTGTTGCATTCGAAGTATTGTATTAGATGCTGTACGTACTTAAGCGCGCAAACGAAAATGTCAGCCATTGCTGCCGTAAATTGGTCGCTATTTGTTGAGTTTATCGCTACGCATTTTAAGAGTATTTGGAACACGTGCCAATAATTATATCCGCTTTATTAACTCTAAAATAGGTTGAAAAGAATTTAAGAACAAATCTCTTAGCTTAATTACACCTTACAATATCCCAAATCGATGTTGATAACCGAAAGTCGCGATCTTTATTGTTTACATGCAAAGAGTTGCTTCCCTTAGTTTTGGCGAGAAAATTAAAAAACTCTTTGTTTGAAAATGCGGTAGAAATCTATTACCACGCAGTACAGCGGTACATGAGGCCTTTTCGCGGCACTTTACCGCGTGATGCGGTAGAGTTGACAGGTCTGCTTCAGCACTTCCAACAGGATAATGCACGTCCGCATACCGCCCATTTTAGTATGGACTACCTGGCTGCTAACAACATCAATGTCTTGGACTGGCCAGCCATGTCTCCGGACATGGCACCGATAGAACATGTCTGGGATGAGATTGGATGCCGTCTGAATCGAAGACCACAGACGCACACCATTGCTGCTTTAGAAGCTGCTCTTGTCCAAGAATGGAACAATTTGCCCCAGGCCTTCTTTCAAACATTGGTTAAGTCCATGCGACGTCGTTGCACAGCTTGCGGAGGAGACACGCGCTACTGACATCTGTGTCGTACTTTTGGTTTGACCCTTCTGACTTTGTACTGTTGATTACAGATTTAACATCAATAAGTGTACAAATGTGTTGTTATTGATGTGTTCCCATTTGAATATTGTTCACAATAAGAAGCAAAATAAATAAGATATGTTTACAGGATCATTTTGTTATACGAAAAACTAAGTGATGCGTTTTCCATGGCGCTCAGTATATTTTTCAAAAAATGTATTCCAATCTGCTAAATATCACAATCTAGCGATGACATCGAGAGTTGATTATGGTCTGGATAAGTTAATTAATATCTAATTAATAATTTAGATAACATTTCAGGCCCAAAGAAAGACCTGCAGTAGGCAGATTTAGCTCTTGCATAATGTATGTTTAAGGCACTTTATAAAGCTTTAAACATGGGATTTATATTTCTTTAAACATACATTATGCAAGAGCTAAATCTGTCTATTGTAGGGTGACCCACCATAAATAAATATCTCCAAATATCTCGACAATTACACCACAATATCTATATATATACCAAGCCTTAAATCAGTTTCAAACATTTATAGTCACTAAATAAACGGTCATGCTGTACTTAATAAGCTATGACCATTTAATCATGCATAAATAATACACTGAAAGATGGTTCTGAGTGTCGCCCATAACATCCGAGCATGTGTGAGTAAAAAATAGGTTACGTGCCCTTGTTTTGAAAGTATTCTCGCTTAACCAGTCTACCAATCATTCTACATTTGATTAATAGGCCGGGGTAATCAAGACTACTTTTTTTACGAAACATGACACAAAGCTGGAACAATAAATTGAATTTACAAACACGCACGTTAGGCAACTCAACAATTGTTTTAAGAACCTTGTAAAAGTAAAATGAAACTACTGCTAGTATCATATTCTTGGCTAACCCGAGTATTTCAGAGATATTATTTGTACTAAAACAAAAGATGCAGCTCCTAATGGTACAGTTAATGATAAACCAATTTAAAAAATAAACGAACATAATTTCTTAAACTGCTGTAATAACCAATAAGCTAAATATTACTGCTATTCAGAATAGTCAACAATAGATTTTTTATGGCTGTAATAGTTGATAGAAGTGTAGAGAATTGCACGTGCGATGGCTATTTATAGTATCATAGACTCTACCGCTGAGTGCGTAGTGTATGCGAGAAATCACTTCAAAATAAGACACAGAAGCGTGTACATTTGCCGTGCCGAGACCAACTTTCTGTACAGTGCACGGGTCACCCTATCTATTGCAGGTCTTTCTTTAGGCCTGAAATGTTATCTAAATTATTAATTAGACATTAATTAACCTATTCAGACCATAATCAACTCTAGATGGCATCGCTAGCTTGCGATCTTTAGTAGATTGTGAGCCCATTTACTGCATAACTTTCCTTCACGATTTAACGATTAAATGGATAATCGAGACTAGGCTGTTTTAGTTTATCGTACTGACTTTAGTAATGATGGTCAAGGCTAGGCGGAAATTCAATCGATTTGTTCTCGGTCCATAGTGGATCAATTTGAATGAAATTTTCAGCAAATTGCCTTTATATTATCTAGTTATCTAAATTATTAATTAAACATTAATTAACCAATTCAGACCATAATCAACTCTAGATGGCATCACTAGCCTGCAATCTTTAGTGGATTGTGAGCCGATTTACTGCATAACTTTCCTTCTCGATCTAACAATTAAATGGATAATCGAGACTAGGCTGTTTATCGTACTGACTTTAGTAATGATGATCAAGGCTAGGCGGATATTCAATCGCTTTGTTCTCGGTTCATAGTGGATAAATTTGAATGAAATTTTCAGCAACTTGCCTTTACATTATCTATACTTTTTCATGTGGACGTATATTGTCATCACCCCTGTCCACCCGGACGCCCGTCCGTCCACAATTTGTTTGTGGACACTCTACAGGTCACAATTCTTATCCGATTTTGACGAAACTTGAAATATAGGTTAATCTACAAAAGATCTCGGCTGCTTTCGATATTGTCATGTATCGGATCGAAACTTCATGGATTATGGCCCCTGTTTGTACGAAAAATCACGTCTTTAGCTTGTGGACCCTTTAGAGGTCACAATTTTTATCCGATTTTGTTGAAACTTGAAATGTAAGTTTATAACCCAAAGATCTCGGTTCCTTTCGATATTTGTGCATATCGGACCGTAACTTCCTGAATTATGGCCCCTGATTGTACACAAAATCGCGTTTTTAGCTTGTGGACCCTATAGAGGTCATAATTATTATCCGATTTAAAAAAACATATTACTATATCACCGTTACACCCGAAGGATGGCTGAGTTCGAATTTCGTGAAAATCGGCCCAAAACTGGCAGACAAAATGGCCACCCTTCGTTCTCAAATAGCGTAAAAATATGGTATATCAAGGTTGTGGACCATGTAGAGGTCACAATTTTTATCCGATTTTGTTAAAACTTGAAACGTAAGTTTATTACCCAAAGATCTCGGTTCCTTCCGCTATTCGTGCATATCGGACCGTAACTTCCTGAATTATGGCCCCTGATTGTAAGAAAAATCACGTTTTTAGCTTGTGGACCCTATAGAGGTCATAATTTTTATCTGATTTAAAAAACGGATTACTATATCACCATTACACCCTAAGGACGGCTGAGTTCAAATTTAGTGAAAATCGGCCCAATACTGACAGACAAAATGGCCGCCCTTCGTTCTCAAATAGCGTAAAAATATTGTATATCAAGGTTGTGGACCCTATAGAGGTCACAATTTTTATCCGATTTTGTTGAAACTTGAAATGTGAGTTTATAACCCAAAGATCTCGGTTTCTTTTGATATTTGCGCATATCGAATTATAATTTCCTGAATTATGGCCCTTGATTGTAGGAAAAATCACTTTCTTTTTAGCTTGTTCTCTATCCATCTCTCGAAAATGTGGGCGTATCCTGCCTGGCAGCCGCTGGTTAACTATTATAGGGAGAACTGCCAACTCGTTATCGAATCTCTCCCGTAATGTATCTTTAAGAATATAGTTTTAAAAAAAAGATAAATTGCACATTTAATACATTACTTTTGTAGCAAATTCAATGATGATTAATTTATCATAATTGTTCAGCGATTTTTCAATACTGTACCAAGGCTCTACACAGCATTTTGAACTTACTTGTGCAAACATAAGTAAAGTTTCAAAACCACTAGCCAAACAAAATTTTCAGTTGCCAAGTCTGAAGATTAGAATGATTTGTCGTATGATATAGCTAAATTATATTGTGAACATACATAACTCTTCAACTTGTCGTCCTATAATAATAATAAAAGATGTTTTAAACATGTTTTTCCGACTGGGACTCACTGCGAGATGAAGACGGCGAAGCTTGTAATTTTGCTTGTTTGGGTGGTGTAGCGCAATGAGAATTTCCTCGCAGAGGACAATGAGATTGACCCAATTTCAAACCAGGAAAGAAACAAGAGTGACAGTTGACCGGGATCATTGCCGATTACGTTATCTTTGCGGAGAAAAGTTCAGATAGCTATAGTGTTAATTGGGGACTTCAAGATATATGTTCACTGGCCAGAAACCTAGCATTTATAAATATCTGGTCGCCATTGTCAAAATTCACTCGCAAATGCCAGTGTTTCAGTCGCATTGTAGAGCCTTGTGTACTATTCAAACTCAATTAAATTCATATGAAAGAGATTTTGATGGTTTTTGTTTTTTTGTTGCACTTTCAGATTTCTAGAAACTAAGTCTTTCAAATCAATATTTTCCTGTATCTGTTTACTTATTTTTGAATATTAGTCAATTTCATTGAAATAATAAGAATGGTGATATATTTTTTTTGTACTAATTTTCAGATTGTTCCAGTTGATTTTGCAAAGAGATTAATGGACTGGACGGAACATGGTTTTCCAGAACTTGGAGATGATCGTGGCATTGGACTGTGTCATGTTTGTAAAAATGTTATTGGTCATCCTCAATTCTCAGAAGAGCCCGTAAAGGTGAGTGCATTTTATAGTGGTATCAACCTGTTCATTCACATTTTCTTGTTAACAGTCTGGAAACTACGATTATTGTTAAATCTTTTCTATACAACTTAAGATGTTATTAGGGTTTCACACTGTATAGCTTGTGTGAAACACTATTGTTTTTGTTAAGATTATTATTCTTATTATTATTGGGCTTTCAGACTTCATCTGAAAGACTATTGTTATTACTAAAATTATTATTATTTATTATTATTATTATTTACCGCGGAGCCTATATCTCAATGATCGAGTCCAGATACCGATCTGGGTCCTAATTTTCTATTGGTAAAAGCTGGGTGGTGGCTACTTGATAAAATATATTTGAAACTTCTGCGCAGACCGGAAGTGGTCAAATTTTTTATGGTGCCCCGAAATTGAAAATCAGCTGTAGTTTTGTCAATTATTTACCTATTTTCAAGCAAAAGACATTTTCGGAATCCCTGAAGCTTTTCCCAAGCAATAGCAATCTCACATCTTGCAATTTCGAAACTTCATCGCTGACTTCTACTGTTCAAATCTTGAAAAAACTTTGTTTACAAGACAATTTTTATACGCCCACATTTTCACGTGGACGTATATTGTCGTCGCCCCTGTCCGTCCAGACGTCCATCCGTCCACAATTTGTTTGTGGACACTCTACAGGTCACAATTCTTATCCGATTTTGACGAAACTTGAAATATAGGTTTATCTCCAAAAGATCTCAGCTGCTTTTGATATTGGCATGTATCGGATCTTAACTTCATGGATTAGACTCAACCATCATAAGGGTGTAACAGTGATATATTCAAACGTTTTTATACGCCCACATTTTCATGTGGACGTATATTGTCGTCGCCCGTCCACAATTTGTTTGTGGACACTCTAAAGGTCACAATTTTATCCGATTTAAAAAAACGTATTATTATATCCCCTTAACACCCTAAGAATGGCTGAGTTCGAATTTCATGAAAATCGGCTCAAAATTGACAGACAAAATGGCAGACGTTCGTTCTCAAATAGCGTAAAAATATGGTATATCAAGGTTGTGGACCCTATAGAGGTCACAATTTTTATCCGATTTTGTTGAAACTTGAAATGTAAGTTTATAACACAAAGATCTCGGTTCCTTTCGATATTCGCGCATATCGGACCGTAACTTCCTGAATTATGGCCCCTGATTGTACGAAAAATCACGTTTTTAGCTTGTGGACCCTATAGAGGTCATAATTTTTATCCAATTTAAAAAAACATATTATTATATCACCGTTACACCCTAAGAATAGCTGAGTTCGAATTTCGTGTAAATCGGCCCAAAATTGACAGACAAAATGGCCGCCGTTCGTTCTCAAATAGCGTAAAAATATGGTTTGTCAAGGTTGTGAACCCTATAGAGGTCACAATTTTTATCTGATTTTGTTGAAATGTAAGTTTATCACACAAAGATCTCGGTTCCTTTCGATATTTGCGCATATCGAATTGTAATTTCCTGAATTTTGGCCCTTGATTGTAGGAAAAAACACTTTCTTTTTAGCTTGTTCTCTATCCATCTCTCGAAAATGTGGGCGTATCCTGCCTGGCAGCCACTGGTTGTTATTTTTCAAAATTTTCACATTTCACCTACATTTTTGGATAACTGAAGTCCACCCAATCACAGTAATATAAATTTCATTCAGAGTTATCGCCCTTTATTTTTCAATTTTTTTCAAAATTTCTACCCATTTTGTAAGCTTCAGTTTGTTTTTACAGCCAAATGGTGGTTTCTGAAACTTCTGGAACATGTAGCCATACGCCCAAACCAACTGATAAAGCTCTCGAAATATTGTCTGATAAAAAAAAGCAAAAAATCGATGGGGGGAAAACATGATATTGATGGATTAAACAAATTAAGGTATGGTTTGGTGGCTCCATGAACGGACTGTTGTATGATACCCAATTCATGCAGATACGATCATCAGGCAGCAAAATATGGCAGGCTGAAAACCAAGAATTTTCCAATTTGGAGCGTTTTTGGACGCCTTTATCTCGAAAACTACTCCAGCGATTGTTCTTGAACTTTCTCTATCGAGAGTCCCTTCGGTAGTCTTGTGCACGAAGACATCTAATAGGAGTTTGAAATAACTGGAATAGGTAATAAAAAAAGTGACTGATAATCGAAAAAAGTTGAAAAATCGTTAAATTTTGGAAAATGCTCAATTAATTTTTTAGGTTTACAGATTTTTAAAAAAGACTTATATATTTATATAACTGGTCTAATGACGATTCTAACGATATATAATATATATTGAGCTATTGAAATTTAATTTTCAATATTTTGACATTTTTGACATTATGGAACTTTTGAACATAGGATTTCTCAGGGTGATTTCATCTGATCAGATAATGTAATATATCATTATAGAGCCCTGCGACCATTCAAGTGCCGAAACCGGTTATTAAAACTATTCCGATAATGATCTCCATAACGTAAGTATTAAAAAAATGACAAAAAAAAGTTAAAAAAAAATTGGTGCTCTTCCAAAAATCTTGATTTTTCCGTCAGATATTAGTGGACAAAAAGAACTAAAGTGTCGTTGGATAGTCCCATTAATGGACTATTATATGACACCTAAATGATACGAATTTGATGGTTTGGAAATGAATTATGGCACGTCGAAAATCTGGTATTTTCTGTTTTGGAGCGTTTTGAGACTCCTTTTTCTCGAAAACGAAAAAAGTTGAAAAATCCTTAAATTACTGAAAATACTCTTCTATTTTTCTCTGTTTTGAAAACAGCTCCATGGATGTTTCTGAATCTTTTAGTACAGAAAGTTAAGTATCCAATAACTTATTAAAACTATCCCGACAATGATCCAAAATACGAAAGTAGTCGAAACAAATATCCGATATTTTGAAGAAAAAAAATGGAAAAAGGAAAAAAATGGTGATCTTGCGAAAAAAGTGATTACTACGCCAGATTTCACAGAATCAAAACAACTAAAGTGTCATTGGATAACCCGAATAATGGACGATCTTAGACATCAAAATGATAGAAATTTGATGCTTAAGGCAATAGTTTATGGGACGCTGAAAATCTAGTATTTTCCTTTTTGGAGCTTATACAGATATTTGGAATGAAAGTAGATTGATTCATTTAACTCGACAAACTTACGAGTGAAAAATCTGCATTGAAATGTGGTCGTATATTGTCGTCGCCCCCGTCTGTCGGTCCAGCGTCTACAATTGCTTGTGAACGCTCTAGAGGCTAAAGTTAATATCTGATTGACTCTAAATTTATGTACAGTGTTTAAAGCCATGAGACGAAGAAGCCTATTGATTTTCAGCAATTTTCGATAATTACTGTCAGAGTTATAACCCTTGATCACTTCAAAAAATCTTGTGGACCCTCTAGAAGCTAAAGTTAATATCTGATTGACTTTAAATTTATACGCAGTGTTTTTGGTCATGAGGCCTATTGATTTTCAGTGATTTCCGATAATTACTGCCAGAGTTATGGCCCTTGATCACTTCAAAAAATCTTGCGGACACTCTAGAGACTAAAGTTAATATCTGATTGACTCTAAATTTATACACAGTTTTTAAGGTCATGAGACAAAGAATCCTATTGATTTTCAACGATTTCCGATAATTACTGCCAAAGTTATGGCCCTTGATCACTTTGAAAAATCTTGTGACGCTCTAGAGACTAAAGTTACCATCAGATTGATACACAGAGTTTAAGATCTTGAGACAAACAAGTATATTCAATGAATTTTTATGACTTGAACAGCTAAATCCATGATATTAAAAGTTTTGTATACTAAACGTTAGCATGATAGAACTTTATAAAAACCAAACAAATTCTAATGGTTTTCTGATAATTACTTCATGAGTTGTTACTCTTAATCAGATTTTAGTGTATTATAAATGTTTTATTACCGAAAAAAGTAAAAATATGCAACAACACTTGTTGACTGCCCGGACGCCAATGTTTATTCCTTAATTACCTATATACAGCCGGTGTGTGTATTCATTAACGCCTGACTGATTCCTTAATCCCTTAGTTAAATAAAACAACTGATAATAAGATTTTATAAGTGTGCTTTAAAGCGAGAATTTCATATTTTCTAAGAAAGTCAAAACATAATTATTTCTATGTCTTTTGCTCAATAGGTTATCAACTCACTATTATACGATAATATGTGTCTTTCTCACACTTAAAACTCATTTACACTGGAAATAATAACACAATTACCTCCCTTGTTTTCTATTCTCCACCATGGAATAGCTTTTTTCAAACGTTTGAATTGGAAGAGGAAAATGATATTTTTGCCAATTTCTCAACTGGCAATAGTGAATTATAGGATTAATAGGATTATTCTTTAACAAGGTAGGACTGTTTATGGATACCATCTAATTTTAAGGCTTTATTTTAATAAATTTTAAAAATATAACTTAAAAATTTGAAATTTCCGCTTTAAATTGACTTTTCGATATACAAGGACTTTTTATTTTGTGTTTTTATACCCCCTGTCCGTCCGTCCACAATTTGTTTTTGGACACTCTACAGGTCACAATTCTTATCCGATTTTGACGAAACTTGAAATATAGGTTTATCTCCAAAAGATCTCAGCTGCTTTAGATATTGGCATGTATCGGATCGAAATTTCATGGATTAGACTCAACCATCATAAGGGTGTAACAGTGATATATTCAAACGTTTTTATACGCCCACATTTTCATGTGGACGTATATTGTCGTCACCCATCCACAATTTGTTTGTGGACACTCTACAGGTCACAATTCTTATCCGATTTTGACGAAACTTGAAATATAGGTTTATCTCCAAAAGATCTCGGCTGCTTTCGATATTGGAATGTATCAGATCGAAACTTCATGGATTATGGCCCCTGTTTGTATGAAAAATCACGTTTTTAGCTTGTGGACCCTATAGAGGTCACAGTTTTTATCCGATTTTGTTGAAACTTGAAATGTAAGTTTATAACCCAGAGATCTCGGTCCCTTTCCATATTCGCGCACATCGGACCGTAACTTCCTGAATTATGGCCCCTGATTGTACGAAAAATCGTTTTTAGCTTGTGGACCCTATAGAGGTCATAATTTTTATCCGATTTAAAAAATCGTATTACTATATCACCGTTACACCCTAAGGACGGCTGACTTCAAATGTCGTGAAAAATCGGCCCAAAAACTGACAGTCAAAATGGCAGCCCCTCAGTCTCAAATAGCGTAAAAATATGGTATATCAAGGTTGTGGACCCTATAGAGGTCACAACTTTCATCCGATTTCGTTGAAACTTGGAATGTAAGTTTATGACCCAAAGATCTTGTTTCCTTTCGATTTTCGCGCATATCTGACCGTAACTTCCTGAATTATGGCTCTGATTGTACGAAAAATCACGTTTTTAGCTAGTTGACCCTATAGAGGTCATAATTTTTATCCGATTTATATCAAGTTTGTGGACCCTATAGAGGTTACAATTTTCTTTTTATTTTGATGAAACTTGAAATGTAAGTTAATAACCCAAAGATCTTGGTTCCTTTCGATATTCGAATAGTAACTTCCTGAATTATGGCCCTTGATTGTACGAAAAATCATGTTTTTAGCTTGTGGTCCTTGTAGAGGTCACAATTTTTATCTGATTTAAAAAAATGTGTGAATATTTCACCATTACACACTAAAATCATGGATGCTTTTGATAATCGCAGATACCTGAACTTAACTTCCTGGATTATGGCCCCTGCTTGTTCGAAAAATGGCATTTTTAGTCTAGAGGTCACAATTTTTTTTCCCGATTTTAAAAACCGTTTAAATATTTCACCATTCCACCATAATGAAGGTTGAATTCGAATTTCGGGAAAATCGAAATGAAACTGCCCAACAAAATGGCCGCTCTTTGTACGCAAATTGTGTAAAAGTATGCAATACGAAGGTTGTTGACCCTCTTAGAGGTCATAATTTTTGTCCGATTCAGATGAAACTTAAATCATATCCTTATATCCCAAAGATCTCAGTCCCTTTTGATATTTGCGCATTTCAGACCATAACTTTCTGGATTATTGCCCCTGATTGTACAAAAAATCCTGTTTGTTTTTAGCTTGTTCTCTATCCATCTCTTGCAAAATGTGGGCATATCATGACTGGCAACCGCTGGTGATAATTGCGGATACCCGAACTTAACTTCCTGGATTATGGCCCCTGCTTGTTCGAAATATGGCATTTTTAGCTTGCAGATTCTCTAGAGGTCACAATTTTTTTTCTGTTTTAAAAAAACCATTTAAATATTTCACCATTCCACCGTAATGAAGGTTGAATTTGAATTTCGGGAAAATTGGAATGAAACTGCCCAACAAAATGGCCGCTCTTTGTACACAAATTGTGTAAAAGTATGCAATACGAAGGCTGTCAACCCTCTAGAGGTCACATTTTTCGTCCGATTCTGATTAAACGTAAATCATATCTTAATATCCCAAAGATCTCAGTCCCTTTTGATATTTGCGCATTTCAGACCATAACTTTCTGGATTATTGCCCCTGATTGTACAAAAAATCCTGTTTGTTCTTAGCTTGTTCTCTATCCATCTCTTGCAAAATGTGGGCGTATCTTGCCTGGCAGCCGCTGGTTTTTATTTCAGGCTGCTGAAATAATCTGGCGTAAATCTGAGCGTCACTGTGTTACTAATAGTGCTTTAGCTAGAAGTTGTGTTATGGGTATTCATCATTATAATGCACTGGGTAAAGTTATAAAAAACACAATGGAGATGTGTTCAGTAACACATGCACATCCAAAGTAAGTAATCAAATTTTTTGTCCCCCGCCTTTCGAAGAAAGCAGGGGCCTATTAAAATGGGTTTGTCCGCCCGTCTGTCAGTCACACTTTTTGGGACACAATAACTCTCTTTCTAATTGAGTTAGAATGTTCAAACTTGGTGTAGGTGTTTATAAGGTCAATGCCTTGATGGAGTTTGAAGATGAGAATTTTCTGCTTAGGGTAAGCAGAGATAAACAATTTGATTGGTTGATGCTTTGGGACACAATAACTTTAGTTCTAATTTAGTGAGAGTGAGGACACTTGGTGTATAGTTTTATCACATCAATACCTTGACTAAGTTCGATAATGAGCACTTTCTGGTCAGGGTAAGCAAAGCAATAAGTAATTTGATTGGCCGAGACTTTGGAACACAGAAACTCCCCTTCTAATTGAAGTAGAATGTTCAATCTTGGTGTAGGCGTTCATTAGGTGAATGCCTTGATCTATTTCGATGATCTGCTTACGGTAAAAAGCAATCCGATTGGTTGATGCTTTGGGGCACGATAACTTTGGTTATAATAAAGTGAGAGTGGTGGAACTCTGAGTAAAGATTCAATATATCATTACCTTATTGACTAAGTTCGATGATGAGAATTTTCTGCTCAGACTAAGGAGAGATAAGCAATTTGATTGATCAAGACTTTGGAACATAACAACTCTGCTTTTAATTGAGGTAGAATGTTTAAACTTGATGTAGATGTTCATTAGGTGAATATCTTGACTGAGTTCAATGATTAACATTTTTAGCTAAAGCAAAGCAGAGCTAAGCAATTTCATTGGTCAATGCTTTAAGACAAGAAAACTTTGATTCTATCTGATAGAGAGTGATGAAACTTAGTGTATAGTAGTTGATAATCAGTTTGATTGCTTGATACTTCTGAAAAAAATAAATGTGCGATAAATTAAAATGTGTCATCTATTTATTTTGGGATTTCGGTGGGGGACATCAGCCTCACTGTTAGCTTGTTACAATCAGTTTAGGAAGCTGTGATGATAAACCTCTCATGCAGTATAAGACAATCTACCAAATATGTTTAGATTGTCGCCATGATCTAATTCGACTTCGTCTAGAACAGCCCCATGGTCTCCAACCAACTTCATCAAGTTCCGGTCGTGAACATCTGAGAAATAGCCCAGGGTCGAAATCATATTTTTGCTCGCATTAAGATTTTGTCAATGTTCCAAAAAATGTCCCTGTCAAGTTTCATCCAAATCCTTTCACAATACAGCAGAGAAATAAAACTTGAAATGAACTGTCCACAAGAAGAGAGAAGAATAGAACATAAACACTTCTAAGACCCTGTTGCATGCCCTTCTCCACATAGTATTTTCACTCTGCTATTGGGAATGACCATGAGAGTCAATATGTAGTAAATTGTTGATAAAAAAACCATTGAAATATGTTTACAGGTGTATATCATCATGTGTTGCCTTGACCACAGCTGTATCAACTTTGTTACAAAATGATGAAAAATATAAAACAAAGAAAGGAGAAATTGATATTGATGCCATTATAGAACATTCCTATCAGTATGCATCACGCTGTATGATAAATTGTACATATCAAGAAGTAAGTGAATATATCTAGTCATAGTCCATCTTGTCCATCTTAAAATTGTGTATTAATAAATCATTGGATATCTTCTTCTTATCCACATAATGAATTGAAGAAAATAATGGTCTATTGCAAACCAGTACAAGGATATTATATCAAACAGGGATTGAGCATGATGTCATCGCATTCATCTTGGGATATTGACGTTATATCAAAAATCAAAGTCTGTCAATAGATTCACAGTTGTCCGAAAAACAAGCCTGCCAAGTTTCAGGTCAATTGTAGTATGTACTTGAATTGGCAAATTCTTAGTTGGAAGTGTGCATCCCAAAAAGAAATGTATGGAACTAGTTGTTTGTTAAAGAATGGATGTCAAACACATTAATTAATCACACCCTGTGTGCTACATTGTCATGGTTACATGGCATTAGCAAATTTTATTATAAACCAATCTGATGATATTCTTTTTAACGCAGAGTTTGTTCCCCACACTAGAACAATGTAGAGTAGTAATATAAGTTAATATTCTTTATACATTTGTGTTATTTATCTTTCTATTCTAGCTCAAAGAACTTCGTCATTACCTGAAAGCCACTAGTTTGAAAGAATTGAAATTAACAGAAGCTGGTCAAACAAGTCATACATTTAAAACATTGGGGGCTGCATTCTGGGCACTGAAACAGAAAAACTTTCGCCAGGCAATAACTGATATAATAATGGAGGTATATGCTTTATTTTCAATTTTGTATTTAATGCACGCACATATTTTTCAAACCCTTATAACTTACATTATTTTGAATCTTATTGATTACTATCTGAAGCGTGTTGTGGTGCTTGTCATTTTTATACACACACATTGGAGGTCACAATGTTCATCTGATTTTGATGAAATTTGAAATGCATGTTTATAACCCAAATATCTTGGTTCCTTTCTATTTTCGTGCATATCGAATCGTAACTTCCTGAATTATGGCCCCTGATTGTACGAAAAATCACGTTTTTAGCTTGTAGTCCCTCTAGACACTGAGAACTGCTAAAGGGTGAATCTGTGCACAGCCACCATATAAATCTCAGTCATAGTTGTTATTTGTACTTGTATCGAAAGAAAATTAATTTTCCGACTATTACTCGGTATTACCGCGTTAAAACTGTAAATAAGGTGTGTTAATTAACAAGGATGAAAAACTGTCTGGGAGGTGAGATAATTAACGCTAGGGGTGAAAAACTGTGCGACAGTGCGTTTTCAGTAGAGGTGTGTTAATTAACCGACCGGTAAAAAATGAATGTCAATGTTGTGTATTGTTTAATTGGCGTGTTTTCTCGCTAGTTGCAATAACTGCATCAAAAGGAGTATCATCAAGGATCAACAGGCTTTATCTGACACGTACGTGTTAAATCAAAATTTGGGAAGTAAAACTGTTTTACCGTGCGATTTATCATTCGACCGTGTGTTTTACGCAGGTCTTTGTATAATTAGACAGGTCTTTAGACAGGCGTGTGTGCTCGCTATGATCTACGTTTCTCTTACATGTCTTTTGTATTGCGTACCATATATATAAAGTTGAATTTAATGAAATAAAAATACGGACCTTAATATATCGTGTACGGAAAGGCGAATGTAATGTCGTCATTTATAAATACCCAGCAGTCAGCGCCCAATTTGAATATAAACGGGAATATAGAGAGTAAATCCAGTAAAACCAACAGAAATATATTTCTGTTTTATTACTAAAAAGACAGGCACTCACCGTTTGACATTTATTAAATTTATAAAAACGTACCACGTTGCTTAAATTGTACATCTTACCTTCAATAGCAATATCCATAAAACAGAAATCTCCATATTGATAAATAATACGGCACAACCAAGCGAACAGTGGTAATTTCCTCACAAATGATATATTTAAACTAAATTACTTGAGCTTTTCACTAAATTTACATGGCATACAATCCAACGATCCTCATTCCAGAACTTGTAATTTATAAAAGCCGCTTTTATGCAATTACAGAATTTTCCCGTGATCTAACATATCAAAGAAGCACATACTTCCGATATGACACGTAAACATTTTTCGAGACTTTGTAGATTGGACTTCCTTGTGTTTTCTTCGTGATCATAATATATAAAACTGCAGGTTAAATTATTTCTTCAACTTTATTATTAAGCTGGATGGGCTTCAAAGGTCCCTCGTTCTCAATAAATGATAGCTGCTCGGAATACCTGGGTGAGCTCTGATCAGTCTCACTCAACACCATCTTTTATCACCCCCTAATTTCTGCATGTCCTAGACTGACCTTGACTTTAATTTCCATCCCAAATATGGACAAGGGGGGAGGGGGGCATTACCTTATTTTGTCTACCAACCATATGTCATGAACAGATAGAATTTGATGTATATTTTGACAATGGTTAGGATTTTACCAAAATTCGCTTTTATTAGTACGTGGGATTTGACTCTATAGAAAGAGTTAACCAACAATTTTTCAAAGATCCAATATTGTGTCTTAAGGACCAAAGTCTTACAACTTGTCTTCTATTATTTCGACTGCGTACCATATAGTCACTCTACTTATAAAGTTGCATTTAATAAAATAAAAATATTGACCTTAATCTATCGCACGAAATGCAATGTTGTCATTTATAAATATTGAACAAGTAGACCCCAATTTGAATATTCCCGGGTATATAGCGAATAAGTCTAATTTGCCGTATGTAAATATACATGTACTGTCTTCTTATTTTTACGACTGGCACCTGAAATAACCCAGCCACATCAGAAAGCAATATCAGGTTTATTTTATAATCATTTTAGACATTGTTTCATTTGATTAAACACGCAAGTTCACATATTGACCTTTGATTGATGGTATGCATTGAAGGCCGAGCCGTTGGCAAAGAAATGAAAAATAAAAATCAGCATGGTATTGTATCTGTCCCGTGGATTCAGCGAAGATTTTAAAAGATCCCTTAGCAGTTGGTATTCGATATAAGAATAGGCCGTAGTGCCGCTGTCCTGGCAACATTTCCCTCATAGCACACTGTATTTGCGTATGCCCGTCTTCATTAGCCCAGTTCGGAGCAGAACAGTAGGACATTGAACCCCATTTCATTTCATTTCAAAGCTGCGTTGGGCTGTTCATCTAATTAATGTGATTTATATTTGATATGTGTGATTGATATCCGACTATCATAAAAAAATGGCCTATTAAAAACTAACATCTAATAACAAGCTATATGTTCTTTCAGAAAGTATTCAGATATCATAAATTATTTGCTAGCTATTATAAAAACGTACAATACACAAACGTTGTAAGCGATATGATCAACCTTCCCGAAGAGCTACCAATTTGTCAGAATTTTCAAAGAAAAAATTGACAAATTTTATAGTAGTGTAATATCAGTATCTTTTGAAATAAAGCAACCGAACAGTTTTCCAATACGCGCGAATAAGCTCGTGCACGCCTTTACATGTGATAGAATTGTTACTTTGATCAAAGAGCTGTTATTGCTCTGCACGGACTATGCGTGAAATGGTTAGACGTGAAGTCTGAAATGGTTGGGTTGACATTTGAATGGTACAAATTTGAAGACATAAATAATAACTTGTCGGAAGACCAGAATAATTATATTTACGAGAATAAGTATTTTTACGAGAATAAGTATTTTTACGAGAATAAGTATATTTACGCGAATCAGTATATTTACATACGGCAAATTTGGCTTATTCGCTATATACACGGGGATATTTAAATTGGGGCCTACCTGTTCGATATTTATAAATGACGACATTGCATTTCGTGCGATAGATTAAGGTCAATATTTTTATTTTATTAAATGCAACTTTATAAGTAGCGTGACTACATGGTACGCAGTATAAACGCCAGGTATAGTCGAAAGAATAGAAGACAAGTTGTAAGACTTTGGTCCTTAAGACAATATTCGGTCTTTGAAAAATTGTTGGTTAACTCTTTCTATAGAGTGTTTATATTATATGTAAAAAAAAACCCAGTGATATTTTGGTAAAATCCTAACCATTGTCAAAATATCCATCAAATTCTATCTGTTCATGACATATGGTTGGTAGACCAAATAAGGTAATGTCCCCCCCCCCCCCTGTCCATATTTGGGATGGAAATTAAAGTCAAGGTCAGTCTAGGACGTGCAGAAATTAGGGGGTGATAGAAGATGGTGTTGAGTGAGACTGATCAGAGCTCACCCAGGTATTGAGAATGAGGGACCTTTAAAGCCAATCCAGCTTAATAATTAAGTTGAAGAAATAATTTAACCTGCAGTTTTATATATTAGGATCACGAAGAAAACACAACAAGGAAGTCCAATCTACAAAGTCTCGAAAAATGTTTATGTGTCATATGTGCTTCTTTGATATGTTAGATCACAGGAAAATTCTGTAATTGCATAAAAGCGGCTATTATAAATTACAAGTTCTGGAATGAGGATCGTTGGATTGTATGCCATGTAAATTTAGTGAAAAGCTAAAGTAATTTAGTTTAAATATATCATTTGTGAGGAAATTACCACTGTTCGGTTGGTTGTGCTGTATTATTTATCAATATGGAGATTTCTGTTTTATGGATATTGCTATTGAAGGTAAGATGTACAATTTAAGCAACGTGGCACGTTTTTATAAATTTAATAAATGTCAAACGGTGAGTGCTTGTCTTTTTAGTAATAAAACAGAAATATATTTCTGTTGTTTTTGCTGGATTTACTCTCTATATTCCCGTTTATATTCAAATTGGGCGCTGACTGCTGGGTATTTATAAATGACGACATTACATTCGCCTTTCCGTATACGATAGATTAAGGTCCGTATTTTTATTTCATTAAATTCAATTTTATATATATGGTACGCAATACAAAAGACATGTAAGAGAAACGTAGATCATAGCGAGCACACACGCCTGTCTAAAGACCTGTCTTTAAATATACAAAGACCTGCGTAAAACACACGGTCGAATGATAAATCGCACGGTAAAACAATTTTACTTCCCAAATTTTGATTTAACACGTACGTGTCAGATAAAGCCTGTTGGTCCTTGATGATACTCCTTTTGATGCAGTTATTGCAACTAGGGAGAAAACACGCCAATTAAACAATACACAACATTGACATTCATTTTTTACTGGTCGGTTAATTAACACACCTCTACTGAAAACGCACTGTCGCACAGTTTTTCACCCCTAGCGTTTATTATCTCACCTCCCAGACAGTTTTTCATCCTTGTTAATTAACACACCTTATTTATAGTTTTAACGCGGTAATACCGAGTAATAGTCGGAAAATTAATTTGACTAAATAGCACTTGTCATCCAAGCCTTACGATTGGCCGACCATTGTTCATGCCCTTGAACCACTCTGAATTTATCTTTTCGCATTAAAATGTCGGATACTGTAGTACGGCCAATTGAATACTTAACAGCTAATTCCTTCTGTGTATTTCGTGGAACCTTCTCAAAATCAGCTATAATTTGCTGCTTGACATCCAATGTCAAATCCATACGAGCATGGGGGGTTGGATGGCTGAATGGTTAGCACGCGCGCGCTGTATCATAAAGTCTTGTCATTGAGTCAACTGGCGTGGTTTCGAATCCCCGGTTGTACGTGACAAAGACCAACCTCGTGGGTTTTCTCCGGGTCCTCCGGTTTCCTCCCACTGCTAAAGACCCCTACGCGCAAGCGAATTATTGAAATAAAATTAA